AAGAAAAAACATATAATTTTGATACACAGGATTGAGATTTGTTTAGACCCTGAGAATAAGGCATGCTTTATCATTTTTTCAGCCCTGATGGTCTGCAAATTAACTTACCTGAAGTATAATCTCTTGACACTTTTTGTTTAAAGTGTTAAAAGAATTTCTCTTTGAGAGAGGGGAAAGTCTGGTAGGAAAGAGTGAAAAAGGGTTAGCAACCTGTTGAGTTGTGAGTACACTTGATAGTATGTTAGAATAAAGCTCAGATATGTGACCCACCTTTCTAGCTTCATTTATTTTGGATCTTCCTTTATTTGGAAGTATCTTCATCTTCATGAATACAGATTCTACTTTAGGCCATAGCATTGTATTTGTAAATGAAAGACTTGCCTGTGCTAGGCAGGAAGGAGGCAGATATTCTTTAAAATTGCATATTTCTAAAGTTATTGAGATTTTCTCTCTTTCTCCAGCCTAGTCTGTCTGGTAGGTTATTTGAGGAGACCTTGTTAGCTGCTTTTCCTTACTAAATATATTCAGAACATACAAGATCATCTCCCCTCTTTGGCACCTTAATTAGTAGAGAATTCTTTTTTTCTCTTAAAACCAAGACACTCTTATTTCACATTTTCAAGAGAGAAGATAGATCTTTTAAGCTATTGGCATACTCCAGAGATATCACAGGTTCAGTTCCAGACCACTGCAATAAAGTGAATACAGCAATAAAATGAGTCACACATTTTGTTTTTGTTTTCCAGTACATATAAAAGTTTTTACATTACACTGTAGTCTAAGAAGTGTACAATAGCATTATGTCTTTTAAAAAGAATGTATCTTAATTAAGCTACTAGATTGCTAAAAAATGCTAACAATCATCTGGCAAGTTGCAGTCTCTTGCTGGTGAAGTATCTGGCCTCAATGTTGATGACTGCTGATTGATCAGAGTGGTGGTTGCTGAAGTCTAGGGTGGCTGTGGCAATTTCCTAAAATAAGATCAAAATGAAGTTTGACTATTCCTTTCATGAAAGATTTCTCTGTAGTCTGTAATGTTGTTTGACAGTGTTTTTTCCCACAGAACTTCTTTCAAAATTGGAGTCCTCTCAAACCTTGCTGCTGCTTTATCAACTAACTTTATGCCATATTTTAAACCCTTTGTTGTCATTTCAACAATGTGCACAGCATCTTCACCAGAGTAAATTCTAACTCAAGGAACCACTTTTTTTTTGGCCCATCCATAAAAAGCAACCCCTCATCCATCCAAGTTTTATCATGAGACTGTAGCACTTCAGTCACATCTTCAGGCTCCACTTCTAAATCTAGTTCTTTTACAATTTCCACTACATTTGCAGTCACTTACTCCACCGAAGTCTTGAGTTCCTCAGAGTCATCCATGAGGGTTAGAATCACCTTCTCCCAAAGTTTTGTTCATGTCGATATTTTGACTTTCTCCCATGAATCACAAACATTCTTGATGGCATCTAAAATGGTGAACCCTTTTCAGAAGGTTTTCAATTTACTTTGCCCGGATACATCAGAGGAATCACTATGTGTGGCAGCTATAGCCTTATGAGATATATTTCTTAGCAAGACTTGAAAGTTGAAGTTCTTCCTTGATCCATGGGTTACAGAATGAATGCTGTGTTGGCAGTCAGGAAAGCAACATGAATCTTTTTGTACCTCTCAATCAGAGATCTCACATGACTAGGTGCATAGTCAATGAATAGTCATATTTTGAAAGCAATACTTTTATCTGAACAAGCATTGAGCTCAAAATATTCAGTTAACCATTCTTTAAACGGATATGCTGTCAACATATGTCCTTTCATGCAGGCTTTGTTGTTCCGTTGGTAGAACACAGGCAGAGTAGACTTAGCATAATTCTTAAGATTTTTGAAATGGTAAATGAGCCTTGGCTTCAACTTAAAAGTCACCAGCTACATTGGCCCCTACCAAGAGTCAGACTGTCCTTTAAAGCTTTGAAGCTAGGCATAGATTTCTCTCTAGCTATGAAAGTCCTAAATGGCACCCTCCAATAGAAGGGTATTTCATTTACATTGAAAATCTCTTGTCAGCGTAGCTGCCTTCATCAGTGAACTTAGCTAGGTCTTCTGGATACCTTGCTGCAGCTTCTACATCAGTATTTGCTACTTTGTACTTTTATGTTATAGAGATGGCTTCTTTCCTTAAACCTCATGATCCAATCTCTGCTAATTTCAAAGTCTTCTTCTCCAGCTTCTTCACCTCTGTCAGTCCTCACAGAATTAAAGAGCATTAGAGCCTTAGTCTAGATTAGGCTTTGGCTTAAGGGAATGTTATGGCTGATTTGCTTCTCTATCCACAACACTAAAACATTCTCCCTATCAGCAGTAAGGCTGTTTCGCATTCTTATCATTTGTATATTCACTGGGGTAGCCCTTTTAATTTCCTACAAACACTTTCCTTGGCATTGACAACTTGGCTAACTGGCACAAGAGGCCTAGCTTTCAGCCTGTCTTAGCTTTGGACATGCCTTCCTCACTTAGCTTAATCATTTCTAGCTTTTGATTTAAAGTGAGAGACATGTGACTCTTCCTTTCACTTGAACACATAGAGTCTGTTGTAGGGTTATTGATTGGCCTAATTTCAATATTGTTGTGTCTGAGGGAATAGGGAGGCCTGGGGTGAGGGAGAGAAATGGGGGAAGAGCTGGTTGGTGGAGCAGTCAGAACACATACAGCATTTATTGATTCAGTTTTTAATTTTATGTGTGTGTGGTTTGTGACACCCCAAAATAGTTATAGTAGTAACATCAAAGATCACTGATCACATAATATTGGTAACACATAACAGATTTAATAATCATGAAAAATGTTGAAATATTAGGAATATTACCGAAATGTGACACAGACACAAAGTAAGCACATTTTGTTGGATAAATTGTGCTGATAGACTTGCTTAACACAAGATTACCACGCCTTCAGTTTGTAAAAAATACAATGTCTGCAAAGCACATAAGAGCAGAGCATAATATAAACTAGGTATGCCTGTATTACATAGCCCAGTTTTCTACTGCTGACTCATTGCAATTAGGCAGCTTATCTAGCCTTTAAGTTTTACCCCCCGTAAAATTGGTACATTATGTGCTCCCTGTCTACTTCAGAATATGCAAGGAAAATGAATAGAATTCTTTTAAGGGCTTAGAGTTGCTAATATGAATGATGAGATATAACAACCTAGAACTTATACAGTTCATTGTACATAGATGTGCCCCCCACTTAATTGAAATTTTTGGATATAAGGCACAGAAATCTTCATTTTTTTAAAAAATGGAGTCTCGCTCTGTCATCCAGGCTGGAGTGCGGTGGCGCGATCTCATCTCCCTGCAGCCTCCGACTCCTGGATTCAAGCGATTCTCCTGCGTCAGCCTCTCGAGGGGAATTTTCATTTTTAACAAACAATTCTAGGTGGATCTAAGGGCAGGAGAATTGCTCTCTCTCCTTAGAGAACAGGAACTGTGTCTTTTAACATGTTTTGCTCAGAGCCCAGCACATCCCCAGTGCATGTGGATGTTTAAAACCGTAGCTGGTAATGGATTTAGGGTAAAGTTCAGTTGATTTTTGGGGAATAAGACCCACTACAACAGATATGTTATTTTTATTATATGATAGAGGCCATTGACTAAGCCTCTAAAGGAACTGTTCAATCAGCTTATTTTTGAATCACTTATCTTCTAGGATATCAATGAGGTTAGTTTTTTGTTTTGTTTTTTTATTTATAATTTATAGCAGAAATTGGACTATCACATGTTTCTAGTTTTATCAGAGAGTACCATCTCCAAGTCATTTCCATCTCAGTAAATGCTTATGAAAAACCTTAGGATCGTATCCTTTCTCACAAACCAGTAAGCTGGGGTCGTGAGGCCTTCTTTGTCCAAATACCCTGAAACATCATCTCTACTGGTTTTCCTCCTTCCCTATATAACTTGGTTATGAAGGGGGCAGTGAACTGAATACTGTATGTTTTGAAATTGCAAACTTTTTTTTCCTGAAATGCTTGACTTTGTAATGTGATTTTCTTTATTCTCTTCCTTCCCCTCTCTGTCACAGGCGGCATATTTTCTACCTTCAGCATCACTTAAATGGTAGGTTTCCTCACAGCATGACCCAGTTGTCACCTGCAGACAGCCCTGGGGGGACTTTGAGTGACTTGCACCTTATCCCAGCAGGCTCCCAACTGTCCCAGGCGATGGAAGTAGATGGACTGAATGACTCTAGCAAGCAAGGCTACTCCCAGGAAACCAAACGCCTGAAGCGGACACCAGCTCCAGACTCCCTAGGCCTAGAAATGGAGCACAGGTTCATTGATCAAGTATTGTCGACTTGTCGGAATGTAGAGCAAGCCAGGTTTGCCAATGCATACAGGAAATGGCTGGTTACTTTGAGTCAATGAAAGAGGTGAATTAGTCCTGCAAGGTTCCCCTTTTAGTGCAATATTGTTTTCCTTTATTCTTTACATAGTTGCATGAACTGTTTACTATTATTGGCTAACCATATGTTCTTCATCTTTAGGTTAAAAGTCCATAGTAAATCTTTCATTGTATTTATTTTGTTAATAACTGGCATTCCTGTGGGGATAAAATAATTGTGTAATTTCTTCCTGCTAAACAGAGTCTTAAATTTTCTGTTTAACTTCTCACCCTTTGTATTTCTATACATGGGGCTTCTCATTTGGTTTTCCTGATTGGTTCACACACATACCTCTACCCACCTCAGTCCAGTTGCTGCATAGGCAAGCAAATTCTCTTAAAAATTAAAAATTTAAGGCCAAGACAGGAGGATCACTTGAGCCCAGGACTTTTGAGACCAACCTAGGCAACATAGCGAGACTTATCTCTACAAAAAGTTAAAAAAAAAAAAAAAATAGCCAGGCATGGTGCTATGCACCTGTGTCCAGGCTACACAGGAAGCTGAGGTAGAAGGATTGCTTGAGCCATGTTTGTGGCTATAGTGAGCCATGATTGCACCTCTATACTCAGCCTGGGCAATAGAGTTGAGACCCTGTCTCTAAAACAAATTGAAAATAAACATTTATGTTGCAGTTCAACTTAAGAATGTTGGTATGAATGTTGAATAACTTGATGTAATTGTTTTGAATATCAAATGGCTAGATGGGTGAATGTGTAAAAATATAAACTGGTTCTCTTTCTCTAGCATGTTCTACTCAATTACCAAAGTCAGAAGTATTGGAATTTATATGAAAAAATGCTTCCAATGTAAACCATTTTTAAAATGGTTATTTAAAAAAAAAAAAAAAAAAACTAAGAGTTTATGTAATTGCAGTAAAGGAAAATTATTTTTATTGCTAGTTTTGATAGATTATTTTTACCTCAAATTTGTTATATACCAAAACACGTCAGTCCTTATAAAATTGATTTTTTTTCTGAAAACCTGGAATGCCATTTTTAGCTATTACCACTTTTTAATTTCAAATTCACGTATGACAGTGGGAGAAATATATAAATAAATATATCCATAAAAATCTTCCTTTTAAAAAAATCTAAATTATTGAGGATACATCATGGAAACTACAGAATTATCATGAAGTGACTATTAAAGTTTACTGGCAAATGCCAGAGGAAGGAATAGTATGTGAAAAACAAAACCTTGATACTGAACTTAATCAGGGATGAGGTACCAAAGTATCCACGTTATAGCTGTAGCTTATGTTTTCAATAACAAGGGCTGAGTTTTTCGGGTTGGTGGGGTGAGGGTGGGGAATGGGCCAAGTAACATCTGCTTTCTTTTATTTTCCCTTTTGTAAATGGTCTGTTTCTTCTTTTCATATACTTTGTTTTACCAATCCATTACATACTTTTTGTCACTTTTGTGTGTCATTTTTGTGTATCTTTCCTTTCTTACTTCAGGGGTATGTCCTGAAGATTTCTACCCCCATTTGCAATGAATTTCATACCTCATCTAAAATACATGCATATACCAGAAATATGAACAAGAGTAGCCCTTCTAAAAGTTTCCCTAATGATGGAAGCTGTCAGTTGTCCTATCTTTGTGCAGAATGTTAGTAATAGTGACAGAAATAAGTGTGACAACCATGCTTTTTCTGTTGTTCTTTTTACTTGCTAGGTAATTTGTAAAGTGGAGATTAAAATATAAGGAAAGGTAAACCTTTTCTATCTCACTGTTATGGAAAGCCTGGACTTGTACATTGCCTTGAAGAAGAAATAGGTCCTTTACTTGGGCATCATGATTATGTTGAGTGGCAGACTATTGAAATGAGTGAGACTTGAGAACACCAGAAAAGTTGTCTAGCCTGGCCCCAGTAGACAGAATTTGTTCTTCTCTCGAGTCAAAAATTACCTTTTAATAGCTTTTATATTGTTTAGATGAAAAAAAACATTATGAATATAATTCCATGGCCCTTTGTGTGCAAAGCATATTTTGAATCAAATACCTCAAGGTCTACCTAGACCTCTATGGATAAAATCATAAGTTTATGATTTTTAGCTCCTGTGAGGGTTTGGGGGCAAACTACACAAAGAAGACATGGGTGATCGAGCCCATTCCACTAAAATATGTTGCCAGATTCTGGCCTCACTCAGTATTACCTTTCTTCCTAAGAATTATTTTTCACATTCTTAGTAATAGGGCTTCTTATGCTTTGATGTGGAAAAAAAAAAAAAAAAATCAGGAAATGAGTGTAGACAATACCTTATAAAATATTAGCTAAATTTTTATAGTGCTCTATGTCTTTGTGTACCTTCCACTGATTATCTTGCCCATCTTTGGTGTTAACTATTTCCATGTCTTCTAAGGCTCTTAACCCACGCTTTTCTGAAGCCGTGCAATCCTTTAATATATCTTGGTTTTTCCTAAAAGTTTTAAGTAGAGAGCAGAAATACAAATATCCAAAGGATACTGTTAGTATGTGACTTTTGTGTGCTGCTTTATTTCTAGAATTTGCATTTTTAAATTGTTCATTCACAGAAAATCCTAATATTGCCACATATGGTTGGTTTTTTCCCTAAGTGGTCAACATTTAAGCCCACTATCTGTAGCAGGATAATGTCTTTGAGCTCTTGTAGTGGAAAGGATCTGTTTATATTCTGGGACTTGCTAGTCTTCACTTATTTTTCTATAACTATTTAATTGTTAAAAGGAAAAAATGGCTTATTGACACATATTTCATTAAACTTTCACTGGAAGAACAGTGAATTGTACCATACTGTGGATTAAGAATACTACTGACAAGCGAAAAGCATTAAGATCTATAACTGTCCACCACCACCTTCACCCCACCTTTAGTGTACCTTAGTGTACTTTAGTGTACCTATTTTGGCAATATAGTGTTTTCCAGATTCTACTTGTGCTTTGCACATTGTGAGGACTCATTAAATATTTATTAAATTAATGAATGACAGAAGAAGAGAAAGATTGGTTGTGAGTGATAGAATGAGTGATGATTGAGAGATTGATGGATTAGTGCAATGGATTGTGAATGAATGATGCTTTCTAGCTTCGTAGTACTTGGGAAGAGCTATCGCATACAGAATAAGTTGATTTAGACTTTTTTTTCCTTCATTTCATTACCTTGTTTAAACTTGTTAAATCCCAGCCAAAAAATACAGCTCTGTCATTGTCAATTAACTGTACTATAATATATGTTAAAAATTTATAGACCTAAAGAACCCACTTGCATTAAGAACACCACTTTCTGTTCATTTGTGATATTAGAAGACAAATCCTGCATACAGAGCCAGAACTACTTTTAGTCATCTGAAGAAATTCTTTGATTTCAGTGACTTACTGACCTGTACCTGTGCACATATCATCATTTTGTGCTTCTCCTTTCTTCCCTGTAACTTGAACTGTGACTCTTTCAGATATTTTTTAAGTCTGTGTGAGTCATTTTTTAAGCTTAGGGATTTGATACATATTAATGTCCCCTTTGTCTTTTCTAGATTTTAGCATTTTAATACCTCTTAAACTCTGGGCCCAGACTTTGAGTCATATTTCTTATTCCTATGGTACAGTTCTCACTTAAAGGCTTAATTATAATAGGGTTAAATGTATACAGGTTATGTGTAAAAGTACTTAAATTTTCAAATAAGGGCTTATGTGATACAAGATGTAGAAACAAAAGTTTTTGGATTTTTATGCAGTAGTTTGTAGGAAAGCATATACTCAGTAGATTGTATGTTATTTAGGTATGTTCAGGTCATGCCAATTTGTGTTTGTTGGGCCACACACACATGTATTGTATGTGTGTGTAAAAAGAATTTTTAATATTGTAACAAATGAATTGTCAGTTTCACAAGACGGCAAATACCACCTACTGTACAACAGTCTAATAATCCCTACCTTAGTTCCCCTGAGTCATAGAAGATGCTAAAGAATTAGTTATAAAGGGAAGTAACATGATTTTTTTTCCCAAGAAAGCTGTTTTAAGCTATTATTTTGCTACTAGAAAATTATATTTTGAAACTTAAAGATATTTAAAGTATGCTAGAAAATTTGAACATGATAACAACTGAACTTTTTGTCTTGAATAAATTTCTCAAATAGAACTGTGCAAACCCTAGCACTTTATATGTTGCTGCCTCCCCACACCTAGGTATGGTCTGTAATAAGCTCCTGTTTATTGGAGAGATGTGTGGAGGCCCTGGGAAGTTAACCCCTAGAATTCCTTATTGTCACATAGTGTCTTTTAAAAAATAACTATACAGACTGTGTTAATTCGAGTGCCTTTCTTACTTTTTTGGGGAGCAAGATTATATTTAATGTTTAAGAAAACAGGATGGAAGTTTTATTGCACAATTGATTGTGGCCCACTGTTTTATTTATTCCCATCACTAGGCATGGCTCCATAGTGAGAGACATAAAAGCAGGCAGGATGTTCTGATTATTTCATGAGTTATCATTTTTAAGCACCGCACCAAGATTCAGTTTTTTTTTTTTCTGACAACTAATGTTTTGGGGGTTAGAGGCATCCCATTTAGAGGATGGTATGTGGACAATTAAAGATTAGCCTGAAACCTGCATTCAAAGGGAAACAGTGGCACTCTGCCCTAAAATAAAAGCCCGAATGTTGTCCTAAATGAATCCTTTGCCTTACTTATGGGCCTTCCTTCCCTCTCAAATTCAGGCATAATGTAATGTAGTTGAAAGGGGGAGAAGCAGTACTTGCTTTCTTTCAGATATTGGAGGAAAAGAAGTAAATGCTTAAATGAAATTTTAAATGTATCATTTTATCTGTTTGTATATGGAGAAGGGAAGGATAGGAATTCCATATTTCAAGATAGCAAATAATTATTCATTATAATTTCATAGAAATATATAGCTAAAGATTCCAAAGTGCTTTTACAGAGAACTGTTGAATAATATATTCCTAAAGGGCAGCAATATGCCACGTTCATGGTGAAGACAGAAAACCAGTGTATCAGTTGTGGATCTTAGGTGGGAGAGGAAACCTCAGGCTCCCAACTTTGACTTCTCTACTCTCACCAGGCCATGTTAACACTGTAAAACCAAACTCTTTGCTAAGAACAATACAAGGCAGTAGTTCAGTCTGCTGATGAAACCTTGTGCTTCCAGAATATTAGCTATATATAATTTGTTCTTACTGGACAATAGAATGGTCCAGAAGGCTAACCCTGACATTACTTTTATTAGTCTGTTGTTATTCCTCAGGGTATAGAAGATTTAGTAAATTTAGGACAAATTTTATATTCAGTAGCAAAAAAGAAAAGGCAAAGATATGCTAAATATATTATTAGCTCTTAAATTTTAGTATAGATTGTATTTTTTAATAAACTATTACCAGTACAGTAGCTAGTAGATATTCTGTGACTGCCTCATTGTTCATCTTGCTGCTTTGGTCCCTATGGCTCTAGTATGAACATTCTTGTGTCTCCTCTGGAAATGATTTCTGTATTATATTTCCATCTTTGGTAGAGGTGGGGATGATTGTATTTTGTTTTAGTTGACATCATTCTCAACTTTTATAAACACTGTTGAGGAAAATGATTACCATTGGTTTTCAAATTGACAACTATTTTGCTTCCAAAGACTTCAGTTTCCTTTTATGTGTAGACCCCATATATGTTCATCACATTGTATACTGCCTTGCACGTTGTAGGAATTCAATAAGTCAGAGTTGATAGAAGCTAGAAACATAAAACTAGCTTATCTGTCTTATCATTGTCCTATTCTTAGCTTTGAGAAAAAATATACCATTTTGCATAGAATACATCATTAGTTTCAAATGCACAAGGCAAGTGAAATTTACAAAGGATTTTTATTTTCATTTATGCTAAAATGCTCCTATTTAAAGCAGTTTTCTTGATTAGACCAACACCTTTCAGCAAAATTAGAAACCTAACACAAGTGCTCATTTGTCCAAATTAACCATATAATTATGTAAACTGTTTATATTAAGCCTTTAGTGGTTTATAAACAATAACATTCTGGCTTTTCTTTCATACCTTTAGGGAATCAGCCTTAATTTTATGTATGGCAGTCACTTTCCTCAAAGGACTATGCAGCATACTTTAGATTGCTTATTTATCTTTATAAGGTGATAGGTAATAAATTTGGGGTTTGTCATACAATTTCACATGTCCAGATGTTGACTCAAAGAACATTCTATTAGAAATGTTCGTATATTATCCTCCCTTGCAAATATCATCTTGCATTTGGAGCAGGTATTTTTTTCTTATTGGTTAAAGAATGAGTATAGACTGAGTACAGTTATAGTAGGTGCTCAATAAATAGTCACTGATTGATCTAACATCAAACAGTTTTCAGAAAGGAGACTGTTGACATCTTTTCACCAAGGAGTATATTTGTAGAGTAATATATGTGTAGAATTTTAAAATTATATCAACTGACATGATTTATTAGGCTTATTTAGGCTGGAGTTAGTAACATGTAACAAAAGTATTATTTATACCGAACATAGTCGAAAGATGGGAGATGTGAAAGTTTAAGTAGTACTGTGCGATGCACATTAATAAACATAATTAAATGTCTTAAGCAGGTGGCTGAACTCTAGAGAGAACTACTGTAGTCTTCTGTGATTAGTATCTGTATTGGTATATCCAGTACTACCTGGTTTAGGTTCGTTTTATTTTTTGTTAAATCTTACTTGCTTTCTAGTGTCCTAAGAGTGGTAATGGTAAAATGTGAAGTTACAAAAATCTGCTTGTTTTCTCAGAACATCTTCAGCATGAGGGGGAACTTTTTATAAATGATACACTAGTATCAGCATCTGTTAATTTTCAAAGCATTTTTGACAGAGTTTACCTAATGTAAAAAGATAAAGCAGTTTTATAAAACACAAACATTCCTACCAGAGTTGCGAGGAACAGAGTGTGTAGTACAAATGTAATTAGGCATTGCCTCCTGGCGACGTTCTTGATGCATGACTATAATGCTGGCTGCTGACTGAGGTGACCGCTGTCAGTGTTGTATTTTGATGTATGTTGTTTTTAGGAAAATAATGGAATGCATTCTAGATTAACCTACTATTTTTGAGTTGGAAAACATAAAAGATGAGGTATAAGTATGCCAAATATTCATACACCACAAAAGCTTAAAAAAGGAGAGGAAGAAAAAAAATCAAAAGCCAGTTATGATTTTTTAATAGCATCTAATTTTTTTTGACCCAAGTTTGTTGGACACTAGTTAGTTGCATAATTTAACATGGAGGAGCTTTTATTTAAAAGAAAGTTCTCAGCTACTATTTTCTGCTATTAGAATTCATCATGCCTGTTAATTTTACATTGTTTGAAGATGTAAGCTGCCGTCAATATTGTTTTAAGATTTTCTTATAGTTTAAGTGGAAAAGTTACATATATAATCTGTGGTGCAAGGTCAGGCCTGGGCATTAAAGATAAGTTCGGCTAACTTATTTTACTGAAGATACTAATTGTCTTCCCTTTGTTGCACTGCTATGTTTCTTGATCAATTTTTCCAACAGTCTACATTGAAGTCCTTTAGCTCTCACCATATACTAATTGACATTTGTTAAGGATTAAATATGCTGTGAATTCTTTTTACACTTAAAATGCGTATCTTGCAGAGAGATAAGAATTAATTTTGCAATAATTTATATGCAGAGTGTGCTTATGGGTTTCTGGGATTTTGAGTTAGTACCCCAGAGTGTTTAAGTATGATGCTAATTCTAAGGCTAATGTAATGACTATAGATTATCTATATCCACACTGTTCAATAGATATATAATGTGAACCATAACATAATTTTAAATTTTCCAGTAGCCATATTAAAAAAAGAAACAAGCAAAATTAATTTTAACAACATATTTAACCCAGTATATTAAATATATCATTTCAACATGTAATCAGTATAAAAGATTATTAATGAAACATCTTCTTTTTCTTCCATACTAAGTCTTAGATTTGAGTGTATTTTGCAATCACAGCACATGTCAATTCTGACTGTCCACATTTTAAGTGCTCAATGGTCACATATGGCTAAGGGCTACTATAATGGACAGTACAGATTCAGAGTACAAAGTATGACTTTATTTTAACTTTGGAGATGGTGAAGTTGGCATAAAATTATGGTACTTAAAATCCAGAATATTTAGAAAAGGGTCTAATAGAATTATCTACTTGTTTTCCTTCATCTTTATTTTAATATGCTATAGAAGTAGTATCAACCTGTTCCAATTTGCCAAGCATTAAGGAGGAATAATTCCGTACCATGTAAAATATCATGATATACTGATTATAACAATTAACAAATTTTTAAGTTGTATTCACTAAATTTTGTCCTGTTTCTTCAAAATAATATAGCTTAAATTGCATGTTAATTGAATATCTTGCCTATTTTGTTTATATATTCTTACAATATAATAACGTATATTAACAAACAGCCCTAGGAGTCTAATCTTCCTATGCAGCTGTCTTCCAGGATTTACTGGCACTTATTACATTGTAGTAAGTGACAGAAAAGTAGAATGAAATATTCTTTTTTCCATTAGAATTGTTCTTATGTGACCATGTACCAAGCCAGCTATAAATTATTGTATTTCTGTAGAATATGGAAAATAGTGTTTGTCTTACCTTTGCTAAATGTTTGCAATTTCTAAGTAAACCTTTCGTCTCCTAAAATGAGTGTTAACTGTGATTTTATTTTTACTTTTGGTGCTTTAAACTTGAGTGTAGTCTACCAAGCTTTCCATTTTATTTTCTTTGATGGTGGTGGGGGGTAGAGGTGTGAACTGTTGTCTAAATGAAATCAATAATTTTATTACCTACATTTGTAGAAAGAATAAAAATGCCACTATGTCTAGAACATAAAAGAAATGTCAAAAACAAATTAGAGAAATCGCCACAGTTGTCTTTAAATTGCATGAACAGTGACTAATTGCCTTATGAAAGTTATTATGACTAGATATGCTTTTTTCCCATATATTTCAAATGAAGCTGTAGAGCACGCGGAATTACTTGGTTATTTTAGTGTTACATCCTATGTTTTCTCAAGCCTGAGTCTCACTTCTGTATGTTATAAACCAGATATAGCAGTGTTACTTCCACAATATAAAACATAGAAAGACTCTAAAAGGTATTTAATAAAGTGTATACTTTTTAACTTAGATTTTAAATATTTCAAAAGTTTTGTGGGGAAGACTTCTGTTACTTTAACTCTTGACTATTTAGGATTATATTTTATATAATGTACTACTATTATGGGTAGGAAACAGGATATCAAATTTACATGGTGGTGAAGTACCACAATTGTTTAGAATTGCAGTAGTGGCCAGGTGCAATGCCTCACACCTGTAATCTCAACACACTGGGAGGCACAGGCGGGCAGATCACCTGAGGTTAGGAGTTCAAGACCAGCCTGGCCAACATGGCAAAAGCCCATATCTACTAAAAGTACAAAAATTGGCCTGGCATGGTGGCTCATACCTGTAATCCCAGCTACTCGGGACGCTGAGGTGGGAGAATGGCTTGAACCCGGGAGGTGGAGGTTGCAGTGAGCCAAGATAATACCACTGGACTCCAGCCTGGGTGACAGAATGAGACCATGTCTCAAAAANAAAAAAAAAAAAAAAAAAAAAGCATTAGTGTTTTTGCAGTGATACACTAGAAAAGGAAACTAGACTGTCTTAATTTGAATTAATAAGCAAATTATATAAGAAGTGTGCCAAAAATTGATATTAGTAAAGTGCTTCCCTGGGAAATTGACTTGCTTAGTTACGTGCTTTTTGAAAAGGAAGATCAACAATAACAGATACAAAATGATATGTTAGTCAATTAAATTTATTAAATATGATAACCCTTTTGTCATTGGTCTACATTTAACATATATCACAATTTTCCTCATGTTGGAAGCTCGAAGTTTTGCTTTTGGTACTGTATTACTTAAAAAAGGAAAAAATATCTTTTATCAGATATTTAAATGGCATAGGTTTTTGTCTGCTATTAATTTACTCCAAAATGGCCCTGTTGGGCATCAGTTTTAAGTTACAGTGTGCCCTTTCTTTAAGAGAAATACAGTATCATATGTGTCCAATGTCACAGAAGTAGAATTTGAAGGTTGCTTGCCTCCCCACCTTAGCTTTAAAAAAATGAAACAACAATGTACATCTTGTTTTTCATTTCACAGAGAGACTCTTAGAGAAATCCTGGCTGTCAGGATTATGAGTGCTTTACCTCTTAGTGATATGAGCAACAGACAGAATGGTATTTCTGAATTTACACTTTTATTATTCGAATTGTCTGATGATATACAAATGTCTCATATTAGATTCCTCATATACCTCTCACAATAACTACAGCAGCATGATCAGTGAAAGGTCTTTCTGTGTAGGGAAGCTAACTATGGTGAATTGATCCTCTATCATATTTTATATTCTCATATTTTTTTAAATTGCTAGTGACCTCACGAGATACACTGTTGAGAAAATACTGAAAGGTAGTGACTAAATGGGACAGGTGTAACACCAGTCACCCCCATTTCTTTTATTTTCAAGTAAGCTGTTTAGTCATACCATCTACTAACATCCCTTGGAGAAAAATAACCATGTTATCTCTTGTTTATAACTAAGTGAGGACACATCTAGTTGGTGGCATTGATGTAAGTCTTAATTTCAGTTATTCTACGTGAATAAAAAAAATCATCTTGTATAGCATTTATTATAGTAGAAAATCACCAAGAACTACAATATGTAGCAACAGATTGAGTAAATTAGTGTTTTCCTGTAGTGGTATACTATGTACTCATGAAAATAGAACTTATAATTACAAGCAAAAAACTTCATAATGTTTAATTTTTAAAAGTAGGTTACAAAGCAGTATGTAAACTGAGATTCTAACTTTATTATTATTATTTTTAAATTTAAATCCCATTCTAATCATAGCAGGACCAAACTTCATATTGAATACAGCTAAAAATATTGGAAAATATACTAAAAATTTTATTCAAGTTTAATTTTATTCAGATAAATTCAAAAATAAACATCATACTAAGACTGTAGAATGCCAGTAAAAAAATAAATAAAGAGCAAAAGATTAAACTGATAACTCATTTCTCAACAGCAACATTGAATCAGAAGACAGTGGTAATCTAGAAATAGAAAAAAGTCTTTGGTGAATAAGAATAAAGTACACATATACAATATGAGTCCATTCACGTAAAGTTTAAAAATAGGTAATAAAATCATTAAAGAAAACAAACTTACTGCAAAGGTCAGGATAGTGGTTGCATCTAGCTGGGGAACAGCAGAACCATGCCAGGAACAGGAACATGTCAAACACAAATACGAGATGAAGAATTTGTGGGATGCTGACAGGGTTCTGTTTCTTAGTTTGGCCTTGGGTACAGGTTCTACACACATACACATATGTATACTCATATATATGAGTATATATACATGCACATATACACATATATATACTCATATATATACAAAGCACAAAAAAACACTAATAAGGACATGATTCGAAAAAATTCAAATACTACATCTTTTTCTAGTTATATTCACAAAGAAGAAAAACATTGGAAAAATTAGGGCACCATATTCATGACTAGATAACACAGAAAACGTTCTTCCAGGCAGGCACAGTGACTCAGGCCTATAATCCCATCACTGGGAGGCCAAGGTGTGAAGATACTGTACTGGGCCATATAGCAAGATCCTGACTCTAAAAAAAAATAAAAATAAATTAGCCAGGTGTGGTGGTGTGTGCCTGTAGTCCCAGCTACTCAGGAGGCTGCAGCAGGAGGACCACTAGAGCCCAGGGGTTGGAGGTTAAAGTGAGCCATGATGGTACCAGTGCACTCCAGCCCAGGTGACAGAGACCCTGTCTCAAAAAAACCAAAACATTTCAGTGGGTTTTTTTTTTTCCAAAGCAATTGATAAGCTGCTTTAAAATCTACATAGAAATGAAAAGGAATTAAAATAACCAAAACAATCTTGACAAAGACGGCTTACTATAAAGCTATAGTAGTCAAGACTGATTTTGGCATAAGAATATACAGATAGATAAATGGAACAGAATCAAATCCAAAAATAGGTCTGCATGCATCCTAGCAATTGACTTTTGACCAAGACACCAAGTCATTTCAATGGAAAAATTTTTTAATAAACAGTACTGAAACAACAGGTTTTCCATATGGAAAAAGAGGCCTGACTCTTACCTAATACATAAAAATTAATTCAAAATGAATCATAGAATGAAACAAGGATCCATAAAGCCACTAGAAAACAAAATATCTTTATGACCGTGAGATAGGCAAGATTTAATCAGGTGAGATACAAAAAGCACTAATAAGGACATGATTAGAAAAAATTTAAAATCTAGATAGGTATGCCACACATGTGTAGGACTGTGTACATGCTCAGAAAAAACCTGAGAAGGCTGTAACTCTAACTTCTTACTTTAAAGCTATTCACAAACTGGAAGTTAAGGCTAAGGCAGAGCTGGAAACTACCTAAATGAATGTGGAAGTCTTGCCCCAGCATGCACATTGAGCACCTTGATAATAAATGGAAGATTTGTTGATTTGAGGAAATATCTGTCCCAATCACTAACTGACCACTGTGCTACTGAAAAGAGACTGCAGTGGCCACCTGTTACAAAAAAAATTATGGACTTTTGTGAAGTTAGTTCAGAAAAGTCACCAAACAACAGTAGCAATAAAACTGGGAATGGTGGCACATCTGATTTCTAGAATTGGAACATTATCTTATTCAATGTCCAATTTTTAACAAAAATATTGCAAGACGTGGAAAGAAACTAAAGTATGTCATATACCCAGGAATAAAAGCAAACAATAGTAATGGTCTCTGAATGACCAGACATTAGACATAGAAGATAAGGACTTTAAATTGGCTATTTTAAGTATGTTCAAAGAAGTAAAGGAACTATAAAGAACTAAAAGAAAATATAAAAACTATGACTCATGTAATATACAATAGACAATATCAAGAAACATTTTTAAAAGGAAAGATTCTGAAAAGATATACTAAACACACTGAAGGGGTTCAATAGCAGATATGACTAGGGAGAAGAATGAGCAAACTTGATGACAGGTTAGTTGGCAATAAACAGACTGAGGAGCAGAAAGAAAAAAGCAAAGAAAAGTAAATAGCTTTAGGGATCTGTGGCACACCATCAAGCCAATCAACATACATTATGTGACATTATGGGAGTCACAGAAGGAGAAAATAGTCAAAGTGTTTTAAAAAAAAAAAAAAAGCTTGAACATATAGTTGCTTTAAAGATCCTAAATTTGATGAAAAATGTTAATGTACAAATCCCAAAAACTCTGAACCCTGAGTAGGCTATACTCAAGGGGACCCACACAGAGACATTATACCCAAATTGTCACAACGAAAGAAAAAGAAAATTTTGAAAACAGAAGCGACTTGTCATATATAGGGGATCCTCAATAAGATTAATATCTGATTTCTTAGTAGAAACTATGGAAGCCAGGGGGAAGCAATGGACATGCTTTAACTGCTGAAAAGTAAAACTCAACCAAGAATTCTGTATCTGGGAAAACATTGTCCTTCAAAAATGAAAGGGAAATTAATACATTCCAAGATAAACTAAAACAGAGTTTTTCACTAGCAGACCTTCCCTAAAAAGAAAATCCT